AATACACAACATAAAGTAAAAAAGCAGAGAAAAATTTTTTTATTTTTAACAAATGATTTCTGAAACTTAAGTGCCATATCAAATAAAATAAGCATCAGAAGCCCGAAACAGTTGCCTACAATCAACCCTATCGCCAATCCCAACTGTACCCAACCGATACAGCTATATTACAGACACACACAACGGGCACTGATACGGACAAACAGACACAGACAGATACATAGAAACAAACAGTCAGCTAAGTATCTACCAGCAAAATAACAACAGAAACTGGCCCAATACAGACGTCTTTACCCCTCCCAGATATGTATATGTTTCATCATAGACAGCATCCGAATCAGTCATTTGATCTCTAAGAAAATAAGCCTGAGCAAAAAATAATAGCGCCTAGAAAACAAAAAAAAAAAAAAAAAAGAAGCATTTAACCGGTGACCAATGCTGAATCAACCGATCAAACAACCAGTCGGATTTCAAGGACTCGATGAAACACCAAAACCGACTAAATGACCAAACTGAAACTGTTGACATTCCCGGATACAATATGTAAAAATGCATATTTACATTCGCACATACAGACATACAGACGCACATTTTACGGAGGTCCTTTCAATTGTCACTACGGTTAGTTTAGAAACAGTAATTTTTGCGGAAGTGATCAAACTGATGGTGCTCAAAATGTTCACTGGTTACTGAAGGTATTATAAAGGTGATGTTTCTTTCCATCCACTTCTAAATAACCCAACTACTATCTTCATTTTCTTTTTTCTATCTTTTTCCTCTCCTCCTCCTTCTTCTTCTCCTCCTCCTCATTTCTTACAATAAGCAAGGTCATTTACCACTTTTCATCCATAAAAGCCCAAATTTCTTTACACAAGTAATTACTGCGCATATACCTTTTAGAATGTAGCCAATTTTCAAAATTTTTTTTTCCTCTTTTTTTCATTTCTTTTCGCTTTTTTTTTTTATTGCATTATATTGTAGCAATAACATCGATCATCTTTATTAAATCTGTCATAGCAATACCTAAATAACAGAAAAAAAAAAATTTTTTTTTCAAACTAAAAGACTGAGATAAATTATGCAGAAGAAAAAAAAACGTGCTGCTTTTTTTTTTTTTTTTTTTTCAGCTACTATATTTGTTTCATCTAAGTTGGACAGGTGCAATAAAATAACAAAATAAGGTTATCCTAATTGAAAATTGGTAAAATTATGGTAACAGTAAGAATTTTTTTCTTTTTTTCGACTTAATCTTGAAGAAATTCAAAGTGCACATACACACTTTTGAATCACGAATGCACATGATTTAAGTCTGATGGAGAAAACAGATTCCACCAGACATAAGTCTTGTAAACAGCAAAGATCAACAGCCCATACTGTTTCTTCTTCTTCGCTTTGTTTCCTTTTTTTTTCTTGCTTTTGAACTTTTCTCTTGAAGTTTCA